TTCAAAACAACCAGCCACTCTGCAGGAGAAAAATGAGGTTTTCTATTCTGATGAAGGTTTACAGTCTTGGAAATCCACAGGGACAGTTCTAATCTGTCCTGTGGGACTAGAATGCCTTGGAACAGAATCCATGGGAGTGAATTTGGTGTTTGAATTTGAGTCCAAATCTTTATTCTCAAATTTCACAATGTGAGCACAACTACTTACCTAGCATCTCGGTCTATTGCTTCTTGGCCTTTTGGCTAAGATCAAGTGTAGGATCTCTATCTAGATGTCCAATAGATCTCTCAAACTCCATAGGTCCAAGATTGAACTCATTTTTGTAATTAAAATTTTGAATACATTTATTTTTATTTTCTTTATTTTGCTGTGCTCGAAAATATGCACAGTAAAACATACACGGAGTCAACAGTCTCTATATAGACCATTCAGTGACTGTGACTGCTTACTATGGCCCTCTAGCCAGTATTTGTGACTTCAACACAATAATTGGGTTGAGCTGTGCAAGTAAGGTGCTTGTGGCCCACCAAGGGGAACAGACAGTTGGCTTTAAAAATATATATATATATTTTATTTCACTTTTTTTACAGTTCTATTGGCACATAAGCTATTTATATACAGTTTAATAGTTCAATCATATCAAGAAGAATTTTACTATCCTCACGACAATCAATTAAAAAAATTTTCATGGTTAAATCACTTTTAAAATGAGTTGGGTAATCACAGTCAATTCTAGAGCTCCATCCTCCCTCCTGCACACATTGTTTGCTCCCCAAATCCCCTCACCTTCCCTATCTCCCACCCCATAACCCTACCTCCCCTATAAACCTCTCCATCAGTTATTATCTCTGTTATTATCTCTGTGCATCTACTCACTCTGTGCTTCACAAGCTGGAAAACCCAACAGAAACAATAAAAAACAAAAACAAAATAAAGTGGCAAGGTTTATTACTATAAAGATAAAAATGCAAATAATCAGTGAGAAAGAAAAGACCACCATCAGTATTTAAAAAGCCAGGGAAGAAATTTTTGTCATGGAACAAGCAAGAAATACTTGTACCCAAAACAACTTCAGGTTGGGTCAAGAGGGAAGTCCAGGCATCAGGTTCGATCCAGCATAATCAAAATTACAATGATTTCTATCTGACAGTAAAGCTGTTTTGAGACCCTAGCCTATGGTTAGAGGGAATCTGCCAGCAGCTTAATCTGACTAAGGTTCCTACCAAAATTTTCAAGTTACTGTTGCCTGTTTGGTTACATATTAATTCTTAAACTATCAGAATACTCAAGGCAGATATATTTTTTACTAGTTAAGTTCAACTATTGTTTGGTTTTAAGAAGGCTTCAAGGCATAGTTTTGGTTAAAGATTATTTTAGGGCAAATGGTTTCGGTGGTTCATCCCAGTCATTAAGGAAACCTGGAATCAACAATCATTCAAACTTCATTTCACATCTCCCCCATTTTGATCAGGACTCTTCTATGCAATCTTTGATCAAAGTATTTAGTAATGGTAAGGCAGGCACGATCCAGTTCTTTACATACCCCATCTCTTTCTCTGACTTGCCTTCTTCCTCTGCTACTCCAGAGGGGTAAAGACCAATGATTGCGCCTTAGATATCTATCTGTAGGATTTGAAGATGTGGCCCCAAGTCTCTTTGTCCCAAGCATCACACAATGAACTAGGGGGTAAAACCCCACGACTAAACATTAGGCCAAATTAACAAGGGTGTCTTATGAAACCATGGCTGTAAACCTTCAAATCAAATTCCACGAAGTTTTTGGTTGTACATAAGCAGCCTTGGTGGCTACCTTTTTTTTCTTTTTTAATTGGGGGCTCTTATAGCTCTTACCCATCCATCCATCCAT